AAGAAATTCCTGACAAATCTTACAGACATTTTCTATTGGTATTGGAGACTTTGGGAGACTCAAGTCAAGGCATGTGTTTTTCTTAAGTTCTGGTTATGCTTCAACAGGATGTAAGACTTCAGATCTCATTGACATGTTTTGAGATGGTCTTTTTTACGTGGAATATTCAAAATCAAATAGAAACCTCAGGTGAGAAGCCCTGGTAATGTCCTCCCACTGCAGCACATGTCAGAATCAACACAGACAGCAATGTTTTTTAGAGTATTATTTAGCTGATAATGGAGGAACTGGAGGAGGAACTGGAGGAGGAATATCTGGTATTTCTGTTGTTAACTACGAACAAGCACTATTTTGTAAATTAGTCACAGAAACTTGCATTGTTTCTATTAAACAGCATGGGAACATGCCCCTCGGTTCCCTCTTTATAAGTTTTATTTGACTTATTCATGATTTTTAGTTGAACATTTGTAATGTTTGCTGTATTTTCTCACAGCCTTGGCCAGAGCCAAGGCTCCCAACTGCAGCCACATTACATGAACAAACACGCCCACAAAGATCTGACCAGTCACACAATGCTTGACACATATTCCAGTACGAACTAGTTTTGACTGGAGGCAATACACAAGATGGAGTTTCTGCAGGTGGTAAAAGTGGAAAACTATGCAATTTGTGTCAAGCACCCACTTCAGCAAGACTCGAGAATGGGGCTTGTCATTGACTATAAAACAAGCTTTACTCTTTTCAACAAGCAGCGGGTGCAGCCGTGGGACCCTCCCTCATCCCAAAGCACTCACAGGCAACCCAGTCTTAACATAGCATCTCTCCCAGCTGCAGTCAAAGTAGATTTTCCCCTTTCCACATCTGACCACAACCATAATTCCACTGAAGTTGGAATGTTGTGTAAAACAAATAAAAACAGAATACAGTGATTTGCAAATCCTTTTCAACCTATGTTCAATTGAATACAGTACCTACAAAGATAAGATAAGATTTTTAATGTTCAAATACAGATATTTTATTGTTTTTCTTTTTTTTTTCTTCAAGTGTTTACTTATTTTGAATTTAATGCCTGAAACATGTTCCAAAAAAATCTGGGACAGGGACAACGAAAGACTGGGAAAATTGAGGAATGCTCAAAAAAACGCCTGTTTGGAGTATTCCACAGGTGAACAGGTTAATTGGAAACAGGTGAGTGTCATGATTGGGTATAAAGGGAACATCCCTGAAAGGCTCAACCATTCACAAGCAAGGATGGGATGAGGTTCACCACTTTGTGAACAACTGCATGAGCAAATATCCCAACCATTTAAAGGGATCCCCGATTAGTTGTAACATTAGACTTTATATGATAAACATATACTTTAACTGAAAAATAAAGACTGTAAAAATACTGTAGGATGTTCAGTTTTTATCATTTTTAAACTAAAAGTTTAAAAATATATTACACGGACGGGGCCATTTTATTTGCACGCAAAGCATTCTGGGTAAATGATGACATCAACTAGGTCATTGGTGCTAGCGAGCTATATCCACCCTGAAGGTTAATCTTGGACAATATCTGATGGTCGTCTCTTTTAAAT